AACCCTGAGCGCCCCCCCGCCACCCCAAGATTGGCCACCCCTTACCAGGTGCCGCCCCAAGCATGTGCTTGGTCGGCTGGAGGTCTCTGTGCTGTGAACATTGGCCCAATAGGATCTGGACTGACACCCATTCCCTCCAAACTCACCTCCAAGGAGTCATCAGTTTGTAAAAAAAAATCTTGTTAACTACAAATGTTGTTAGAACTGTGACCAGTGACCAGCTGAAAGGCCCATAGTCCACCCCTAAAATAGAGATATCTCCAATCTCCTGGAGATTAAATTTATTCAGAACATATGTTCAGGTTAATAATCTTTTCTGTAGGATGGATCATAAAATGATAAAACCTCAGGATTAAATTCAGAGGGAAAATTGCATCTGAAGCATGACCCTGACCTGCACAGTTCACTCTCATGCACTAAGGAGATGCCATATTAACATGGTTTCTAGGCCTCTTCCAGCATAGTGAAGTACTGGGGAGAGGGGAGTTTGAGGGTGAGCAACATACCTGTTCAAGGTGCTTCTGATGTCCTAGATGGGAGAAGCGAGAGAGGAGAGGTCAGTCCACATGTTACACACTTTGGATCCCTCCTGCGCTTCAGGATGCTCACGTTGCCTTCACTACTTGAGTTCTATATGCATCTCTCATTATATAGCTGGCAACTTAAAATTATTATTATACTTGGTTGAAAAATTTTCAATGAAACTTTTTTTCCATTGAAAAACACCATTTCATTAAAACAGAAATATTTTGCAGAAATTAATCTGGTTCAACAACATTTTCTCATCTCCAGAACGGAATACATCAGAAAGCAAGACTCCAGGGTCAAATCTCTGCTCTGAATTGGGCAAAGTATGGACTTGTCTCTGACTCTACTCATGCCATTGCCCCAACCACCAGGCTATTGAGTGTCTCCATCTCTCTATTTTTTGTGAAAAGTTTCAAAATATCTTGTTTTCGTTCTGCACTGGAACAAAACCATTTTGAAACTTTGAAACTTGTTGTGAAATGGAATTGTTTCCAGCCAGCCTGAGAAATGAACAATACTCATATTCAATGGTTCAGGAGTGTTTCCTTGCAGGGAACTGAGGGTGTATAATCTGCCTCACCTGCAGGAATTCACTCGCTGGCTGCCGACATTTTTCTTTCAACTCCTTTATCAGGTTACTGAGAAACGAAATCTCCTTGAGGAGTTTGGTGACGTTTTCATTCTCCCTCTTCACAATGTCCTTGGTCAGCTCTTCCAGCCGGGCCAGCAAAGGTTGCTTTTGTTCCTGCAAAATCTTCTCCAGTTCCTCAAATTCTGACATGATTTTCTTCCTCACAGTTTCTGTCTCTTCCTATAATGAACAGATACAGACAGGGACAGGGTGGGGCAGGGACATGGGGAGAGTCCTGAGATTTTTCATAAAGGCCTCCACGTGTAGATGGGAGAATTTAGTTGTAACCCATAACAAATTAGCATGAGGCAATTCCTGAGAAGCACCCTCTAGCATTACAAGAGCAAAGTTTTTCCTATAGCCTCCTGGTCAGCCCTAGTTTATGTTACTAGTGTGCAGGGCCGGCTCCAGGCACCAGCTTGTCAAGCAGGTGCTTGGGGCAGCCACTCCGGAGAGGGGCGGCATGTCCAGCTATTCGGCGGCAATTCGGCGGACGGTCCCTCACTCCGGCTCGGAGCGAAGGACCTCCCGCCGAATTGCCTCCACAGATCGCGATCGCAACTTTTTTTTTTTTTTTTTTTTTGGGCTGCTTGGTGCGGCCAAAACCCTGGAGCCGGCCCTGCTAGTGTATTATCTGTTTCATGATTAATGGCTTCTTGCAATCCAGGTCACTCTAACAGCAGAAGGGGAAGCAGGATTTCAAATTACCCTGGCAGAGACTTCTTGAGAGAGGCTTTGTAGAGGCCAGGGAAGTGTGTGTGGGTGGGATGGGAGAGAAGAGAAAAATTCTCAACAAAGCAGATGTATTGGGGAAATCATGATGTCTACATGTCCTGGAACACTCACATTGCTTGTGCACACTCTGGTATGGTGACACACAGAGGAATAAATGCATTTAGAAAAACGTACTGCACATGCATATACAGAAACAGATGTCTGGAGAGAGACACAATCTCTCACAGTGCCACAGTCACAAAGAAACCCAAAACCTCCCATGCCTGCCAAAGCCATACATCCTTGTGGTTAATGATTATGAGCACCTACCTGGTGTTTCTGACTCTGCCTTTCCTCATTCAATTTAATTTCCAGAAGTTCTTCTTTCTTCTTACTCATATTATTCAGATGGACACAAATTTGACCCTGAGTAAAGAAAAAACAAACAAACAAAAACAACCCCAAAACTACAATTGTGCTTTTGGCTTTAATAAGAGAGAGGGTTGGTTTGTCTCATCTGGATAATTCTGTGAATCAGTACTATCAACAGTAACTGTTATGGGTTGAATTAAAACCTTGTTGAAACTGATGTGTGTGAATGATCCCTTCATTTAAGATAGCTGTAAGAGACAGGTGAGGAATTCTACTTAAACAAGACATAGTGGAGTCTGCCTAGAAACTAGCACTGTGGGAGGGAGGGGTGCCAGTGGGTATTGTATGACCGGGGTGGGGTGCATGTCCGTGAGACAAGCACAAGTGCAGACATAAACTGAGAGAGCACATGGAGAGACACACAGGGCCGCAGATGCAGAGGAAGAAAGCCAAGCGGCAGCGGCAGCAGACTGGAAGCATGGTGTAGCCTTGAAGACGCCTAGAGTGAGTTCTGGGCTGGGGATGCTGGCTGTGAGCAAGGACACAGTCTCCTGTTATTTTGCCTCCTTCTGCAATCAGGGATTCAGGCCTTTGTACATTCTCTGGTAATTAACAGGAATGCATCAAAGGTACTGGACTCCATCGTCAATTACTCCTCCTACCTGGGAAAACCTATAAGACCTTGATTTTTTGGCTAGTTGCTTGGGTTAAAAGTGGTAACAGTACCAATACTGGTGTGCGTAATACACAGAAGAAAGGTGCTCTGCTTGCAGTGCTCCCACACCTTCCACAAGGTTGAGAACTTCAGTGAGACCTACACTATTTAGTGGAACAGACAATGCAATGGAAAGTGAAATGTACTGTTCATTTCAGAGGAGTGGTACAGACTCCATAGATTATACTGAGCAAAGGTTTGTCTAAGAGCTGATTTTCAAAGTACTCCAAAATGCAAATGCACAGGCAGGTTGTGTATTGATAGTAGGAACAATGGAGCAGGAAGCGAAGTTATCCCTAGTGTTATATAGAGGAAATATTTTTTTAGTGAGCCTTTTGGAGTGAGCAGCAGAAGCACATTGCTTCTTGGAGCCAGGCAGGCAAGCCAGTAATACTATCTGTATAGTTCTCAGTAATAAGTTAAGTAAGCTGTTTACTGTTACTAAAGTCTCCAGCATCTTCTCATGTTATAATAGCTAGTTGGCAAGAGCTATTGCATGGTGTCAGAACAAAACTATGCAGACATATTACACTAGCAACACGAGCGACCTGTCTGAAGGCCATAGAGAAGGTCATGAACTACGATCTCTGGATACTTGAGACGTATCTCAGAGCTTGGTAACTGTAGCCCTGTGCTTCAAAAACATTCATCTCTTCCTTACACTTGAATAACCATGAGGCCAAAGTGACACTGAAAGAGGACTTTTGTCGTCCGCCTTTATCATCTGACCACAATCCACGATACCTTAGAGTTAACTTTGATCAGACATTGAGCTATCGCAAATACCTTCACAATACAAAAAAGGAGATAAAGACAAGAGATAATGTTAGAAGTGCTAGTGACAATGTTAGATTCAGGCCTGTATTTTCGCCTGAGATAGAATTTTGGGTTTTGCTTGCCTGTTTGATTTTTGATACACTTATATCCTCATGAATATGTCTGAACAAAGGACAAAGACACTGTATGTTGCTTCTGTCTAGCCAGATGGGTTTGTTAGTATAATGGAAACAGATAGGAACAGTTAAAGTGTTACTGGGCATGGTGGGAGTATAATATATGAGCACACAATTTGAAGAGTGCCTCAACTCCTATCTCACGGTGATTAGGGGTCACCAAATGCAATTAATAGGCAGCAGGTTTAAAACAAACAAAAGGAAGTATTTCTTCACACAACACACAGTCAACCTATGGAACTCTTTGCCAGAGGATGTTGTGAAGGCCAAGACTATAACAGGGTTCAACAAAGAACTAGATAAGTTCATGGAGGATAGGTCCATCAATGGCTATTAGCCAGGATGGACAGGGATGGTGTCCCTAGTTTCTGTATGCCAGAATCTGGGAATGGGAGACAGGGAATGGATCACTTGATGATTACCTGTTGTTTTCATTCCCTCTCGGGAACCTGGAATTGGCCACTGTCTGAAGACAGGATACTGGGCTATATTGACCTTTGGTTTGACCCAGTATGGCCGTTCTTATTTTCTTATATTCTTACATAGGCAAGGTCAAGCAACCAGTCAGGAGGGGTAAGAGGGGATTGGGGGGAAGGTATAAAACACTACAAGACCAGAGAAATGCCTGCCCCTGACCGTAGCACAACCTCACTCCATACCCCTCCCATGGGGTACAAAAGAGGTGGGAAGAAGACCCCAGGCCCATGACCCCCCAGTTTGGAACATGACCATAAATTGTAAGGTGTGAGACCAAGGGCATGCATTTCAGGTATAATTATGTCTGCTGAGGACCAGGGGATGGGACACTGGAAAACAAGGCTCTGTGGTGTCAGAGTTATGGACATGCTTGCAGGAAATTAACCCCAATAAACATTGCACTGACTGAATTTTGGATTTCTGGTCTTCTGCTTTCTGACTGCATGACAAGAGCCAGGGGAGAGGGTGAAGGGAAAACCCTCGAACAGTTAACATCATCCAGAAGCTTGCTGGCATATCCTGGGGATGTGATGCATGCATGCTATGAACATTATAAGATTTCCCTGTATCATGTTCAAAACTGACATCATACCAAACTGGTTGAACAGACCTGTCTTGAACAAAGAACGTATGTTTGCATTAATTTTCATTTAAGCACTAAACAGAGTCATCAAGCAGGAAGGGGAAACAAAAGAAACTTAAACAGGTGGAAGAAAGACCAAGGAACTTCCTTCCACACAGACTTTTTGTCCCATAGTTCCCAGCTGGAAACATTTTTCAAGAGGGGAAGGGAAAGTATAAAAAAAAGGGGTCAACCACCACAAGACACTGCTCACTCTCTCTCCCTGCCCATCACATTCTCTGCACCCGAGAAGACAAAAAGAAACAGCCGCTGGACTTTGAGGGAGGGGTCCTGACATGAAGAGTTTGGTCAATAACCTTGCTGGAAGCATGTGGTGAGAAATTTTGCTTGAATCTCATATAGTTTGTTGAGTTAGACACTAGTAAGTGTTTTATCTTTATTTTTCTAGTAACCATTTCTGACTTTTGTACCTCATTACTTATCCTCATTTAAAATTTCTTTGTAGTTAGTAAACTTCTTTTACTGTTTTATAGAATCCAATGTGTTTAAGTTGAAGTGTCTGGGTAACTCCATTTAAGATAATAAGTTGGAATATTATTCCCTTAAAGGAGTAACAGACTTAAAATATTTGTATTGTCCAGGAGAGGGCTGAGCAATACAGGACATACATTTCTGGGGGGAAATCTGGGACTGGGGGTGTGTTGGGGTCACCCTGCAGTATAACCAAGACTAGTGAGAACCAGAGTGTAATTGGCAGGCTGAAGTTACACAGACACTCAGTGTGTGGCTTGCACTCTGTTTGGCTATTTGTGAGTGGCCCAGTTGGGAGCTCTACAGCAAGGCATTGTAAGGCACCCAGGGTTGCAGGGCAGGGGCACACAGCCCCCCACTGATCTGAATTCTACCCCAGTATGTCACAAGTTCCCACAACAATCTCATTGACACTGAAATCGATGCCACGGGTAGGATTGTTAGCAGCTTTCTCAAATCAACGCCAATACCATGGCTCCCCGTTTCGGTGGGAATCACGCCAGCCAACGTCAGGCAAGACACTGCTGTGGTCCAGGAGAACAGCAAGATTCTGGCTGCTCTGGACATGACGATCAGTGCCGGCTCCAGGCACCAGCCGACCAAGCACGTGCTTGGGGCGGCACCTGGTAAGGGGCGGCCAATCTTGGGGTGGCGGGGGGGCGCTCAGGGTTTTTTGGGGGGGGGG